GTGTTTCGATTTGAGCTTAAAGTCTTAAACTAATCACGTGCGGATTACTATTAGCCAATAGCCATACAATTATATTTAACACTTTATTTTATTAAAACTGATTTAAAATAGTTTACATCATGGAAGAAGAAATTCAACGTATAAAATTCAACATATAAAATTCAAAAAGAAACTAATGGTCTTTTCCACACCGAAAAATAAGTGAAGATAATAATTATTGACGACACATTAGCGATACCAATATGATCTTGTTTCGAATCGAAGGTAGACAATTAGGTGTTCTCGAATCCACAATAGCAGCCGGACTTCCAAAATCTGTTACGATAACATAATAACAATTCTCTGAATTTGATTGTCTTTGTCAATTTTGTTCATAGTTAGTTTCAATGAAACCGCCGTTGAACAAGTTTAAACTACAAAACTTAAATCAAATAGATAGCCAAAATTGACTAGAAACTAAACATAGATCTTCTACGAGGAAAAAAGTTCAACTAAAAGTTTCTCCAAAAAAACTAAACCCAATAAAAAAAACACAATAACTCATAAAATCCAAACGACGAATAATATCGCATCATCTTCTGACCAAATACTCCATAACATCCTCTAAACTTTATGTCGAGCGTAGAAACTACTAGTTTACAACTTTCTCCCTCTCAGAATGCCGGCAAAAGCACCGAACATCGAAGAGCAAATCAACTCAAATCACTTTTTTCTCTCCTTTTGTCCGGCGATAGAATTATATTGTCATGTTTTTTTCCTCCTTAAAATGACAATATAATTTTGAAATGCCCATTTCTATCTCCAATTTTAAAGAGAAAAAACATGACAGTATAATTATATATGGGAGATAGAAATGGACATTTCAAAACAAAATTTTTTTCTCCTTAAATCCCACTTGAAAAGAGATAATTTCAAAACATGGCAGTATAAAGAAGATATAAATGGACAGAACACTACTCAAATTTGCAAATGGGATTTACTCTTTTTTATTTAGATAGAGAAACAATCAGTAGTAGATTAAAATTTCTTTTGGTAAATACTACTATAAACCAAAATTTATACATAGTGAACATTTCATTTAGTCTAATCCAACTGTTCAAAATTTATAAACAAACAAAAAGTATAGAAAAAAATAGTTTTCAATATTGTTTCACTTGTGAATAGTATTTTGGCTTAGAGCTTAATCATAAGCATGTTTGCGTACCAGAGATAGAGACCAACGTATGGTGCGAGATTTATATTTCCGGTACTAAAACTATTTTGGCGTGATGCAAGTATAGATTCCAAGTGGTTGCGTGTCAAGGGACTTGAAGAACTGTCCTCTAATTCATGTTTTCCTCCTTACTTTGTTTCGATGACAAACTCGAGTGGAAGAAGAGTGACAGTTTGTATGATCGTCACGTAGGTCGGTAGGTTACAAGTATCCATGGCTTTCATATAATAAAAGATCTAAAACAGATATTTGGTGTGCAGAGAGATTTTTCGTTTCAGAAACAAGGTGTAAGCGTGCTTAAGGGTTTCATAGAATGGTATATAAATCCGTGTTTACCTTTGATGAATTCGAGTGTGATTCTAATTTTTTGTCCTCAGCTAACCAATGAGTCAATAACCATTTCAATTCCTACTCGATGATGACACATTATTTCAACAAGTTCTGAACTTGCTCAAATCTGATTTGCATTTCAATTTCTTCTGAACGTTTAATGCAAATCTGACGCCTTTGTTCCTCGTGCCACAATGTTATTTCAACTTAATGGTTTATTATACAAAAGTAAAGAAGCAAAAAAATAAATTTATTTACATTTCACATTTTTTACAATTTGAAATTTGGCACTATTAAAAGTTCAAATACATGATAAATAAAATGAAATCAAAAACATTTTTTATTAAAATAATTATTTACGAAATGAGTTGAAATTTAGTGAAATCAAAATCCGAAATTCGAGTGCTCAACTTGCATTATATTGTGTTCACAAAGTGAACGTGACACCTCAAATGATCAAAGACAAGTCAATGACGGGATCTCACGTTCGAATCATTTTCACATTTATTTAAGTTTAACACCCAAATTTTTTTAATTACAATCCGATAAAATTAAAATAGATAGATAGAAAATAATTATTTACAAAATAAGTTGAAATTTAGTGAAATTATATATAAAATTCGAGTGCTTAGCTTGCATTATATTGTGTTGACAAAGCGAACGTGACATCTCTAATGATCAAAGACAAATCAATGACGGGACCCCATGTTCGAATCATTTTCACATTTATTTAAGCTTAACACTCAAATTTCTTTAATTAAAATCCGATAAAATCAAAATAGATAGATAAAAAATAACTATTTACAAAATAAGTTATTTAGTGAAATAAAAATCTGAAATCCGAGTGCTCAACTTGCATTATATTGTGTTGACAAAGCGAACGAGACACCTCTAATGATCAAAGACAAGTCAATGACGGACCCCACGTTCGAATCATTTTCACATTTATTTAAGTTGAACACTCAAATTTCTTTAATTAAAATCCGATAAAATAGATATATTGTGTTTATCAAAATAGTTTGAAAATACGAAGATAGTTTTAAAATCGAAAATCACTTTTGCCATAAAAATGAAAACCTGAAAATACTCG